TGCAAGTCTCTTTGACAAACAAAGCGCAGAGAGGAAAAGAGATAATATGTCTAAGAAAGATTGTCAAAAACACAGTTTTTTACTTATAAACTGTAAATGATGATTACTCTTGAAGAGAGAGCTCCGAAAGTGAATAGTAAATCGTTTTGCTTTAAATAAATCGTTACTGAATGTGACAAGTTCACTTAATCTTAATGGATCACCTACCAACAGCAACAGCTTTTCAATAAATCAAGCACCAGAGATTTGGAGCTGTTCTGACATGAAAACTCTTCAAATTTTCTTGAATTTGAATGGTTTGTAAGTTTATGTATTCTTTTGCTTTCTAATTTTGACACAATTTCGTATATTATAAATAATCAAATAATAAATAAATCAATGTTTAATTAGTCCAGAAGTCGCGCACCAAAACTGTGGTAAATTCGTCCTTAAAAAGTTCAAAAACATCCAGTCCCTATCAACATTGTATTTTGCGTAATAAATTTTGCTTCTTTAAATATTGCTTCTTAATACACGTCCCAAGTTTCATCTGAAACAAATCGAAAGTTCTGATAAAAATTCAAGAAACAAAACTATCCATGGGAACTTTTATTTGGAAAGACTAAGTCATGAAACTTGAAACAAATTGAAATTATGCTTTGTTGTACCGCTTACCTTATTTTTTGATTTTTCGAATCCAACTTTTATTTTGATAGAATTTTGCTTTCTTCGCCGATTTATCGACAATACCTATTTGCTTTAACCAAGCTTTTCGAATTAAATTTTCACTTCGATAGAATTCTACTACTGAACCAGTAATCTGAAGGTGCTATTTGGAAGAGCGTTCGCTTCGGAACCGCCACGCGGTTTCCTGCTATGTGCAGATTTTTGAATTGAGTTAACGATTCTTTATATATTAGATTATATTTTCTCTGTGGATATACCGACGATACTTGTTGTTTCAAGCACTACTGAATAGCACATCGAGTTCTCAACTTTTTTTTAAAAAATTTGCTTCACTACAATCATCCTGTACTAAATGTTTGTTGCTATGTTTATGTGCTTTTATGAAAAATGGTGTGAAACCCTCTCGTGATTAAGCTTTGTTTAATATATTCTATTTCGCTTGCACTGTGCTGTCATTGACAGATGAGAATTGTTTCAAAACTGACAGCGTTTCACAGTTTCATGAAACAAAGCAAACATCTGTTGAGAAATAGCTTGGGATCCAGGCCGGGTAAAGGGCCAAAGTCTGTGATACCAAGAGTACGTAACTTTATTTACAGAGCTGTTTTTTTGGGAAGCGGATATGTTAACAGTGTCTCAAAGTGACTCTAAAGATGTATATCCCAAACCAAAGGGTGGGGAGAAACAGTAAGAAAAAAAATTAAATTTGCTGATTAGATTAAGTGAGATCAGCGAGTTTGTGTAAAAACACATGCACTTGCAACTTACCCTTTGATGTGATGGGATTGGCGGCTGGAAGGAGGGAAAGACTTAATCTGGGCAAGGGAATGATCAGAGAGCACGCTCGCGAGAAACGCAGATTGCGTCGCGGGTGCGAGCGGTCGCCTTCCAACCGCCAATTCCGTTGAGTGAGGTATGTAGGGGTATCGAAGGGTATGTGCAGGGGCTTTCACTTTGAGTGTCACGGACGTAGCGGCTCAGGTCCTCGTGAGCCTCCTCGCTTGGGCCCGCTTGTTCCAGGTGATCCTGGAGCAAGACTCTCATAATTTATCGTAACCTGATTGTCATTATGATCTTACAACGATCTATTAGGTTGGCGGATGAATTTTATTACACCAAAGTGCTGTTGTAAAAGAGACAGTGCAAAAACACGTTTTAAAACTTTTAGGAGACAAAAAACGCAATTAGACGCAGAGAAAAAATCAAAGAAAAAATGACAACTTTGAGTGTGCCTACAAAGTTGTCTTAAACTTGCTAGCTGTTCGTGCATTTGCGGCATCTCATACTGTTGTGATCGCCCTGTCGGTCCTACTTATGGGCAGATTTAGAGACTCTAGAAAGCTTCTAAAATTCTTTGGAATCCTACAAAAAAGTGTAACAGAAATATCTGCCAACCTAATATAGTAAATTCATAGCAGAGGATAATCCCGTGTTTACTTTCACTGTCACTGCTCCATTTATAATTGGAGAGTAACGTCGATAATCATCCCTGATCCTCGCACTCGTAACTACAAAAATAGTTATTTGTCAACATCTGCTTATATAGATGAAATGAGACGAGCGTGGTATTCTATAAATGTTTCCATTAAGAAAATGATAATGTCTTAGCTAGTCAAAACGGGAAGACATGGAGAGGGAGTTGTGCGGGGGGGGGGGAGAGAGAAGGAATATATAGTCCCTTTTTCATAATCTGTGGCGTTAAATGCGGCTGCGAAGGAAACCAAGATTGTTTGAAGCAGAGTTTGTAAATTCAGTCACATTCCTCATTAATTTTCAAAAGTGGTAAGAATCAAGCATCAGTGGTACGTGCGAACTTGCGCTTTTTTGGAATTATTTTTGAAAAGAAATCGTAGTTTAGACTTGCCAAAGGTTTTTAAACTATTAGGCAATTTATAAATTCTTTAAATGGCTGGAAATACTTTCATAGGAATAGATTTTAAGATGGTGTGCCCCCTCCCCCTCCTGTCAGGGTTTCCACTGCCGGAGACATGTAATTCAGTCTATTCATCGAAGATTCGCAGGACAAGCAAAATTTGCAGCGGTTCCCCAGAATTTTGTTTACTATTACATAAGTGGAAACATTAAGAATGGATACTTTGCAGGATTTTCACGACAGACTGACTGACAGCGGGAACTTCCGCAGCACTTCATTTAGGAACTTCCCAAGCACGTTTACGGAACTTCCGCAGGTGACTCGACGAGGCTTTCACAAACGTTGTGCGGAAGTTCCCGTCAGTTGTCTGAGAACGACATTATTTTCACGGGGCCCAATCTCTCCATAGTAGTGAATTCCGACTTTAAAAATAAAATTCTTTGCATGGAGCTTAAACGCTTCAAGTTTGTTCCTCACAATGTCAGACTCTTCCGCATGGTTGATTCACCCCTCCTCCCCCCCCCCCCCCTGTAAAAGCCCTGTTTACCGCAGTAAAATGAGTGAGCGCACCTTCGCTTCTTTCGACAATACAGTCTATTTAGCTTTGCTGTAGGACAACGTGTGTAAGGCTACACTAGCCTTTTAAAATATAGTATTTCCTATGAACTGCATATCACCAGTCAGTTAGGCTTATGTGCTCAGATTTTACTCCTAGAAATCGTCAGTGTAGCAAGATTGACCTCAATAGTGAAAGTATGTTTTCCAGAAGAGGCGGTGGGAAGGGTAATCACAACAGGTCCTATGTCAATACTAGATCCTCTTTTGACAGAAAACATGCGCCGGTGATACCAACCATAATTTTCGATGTTATTCTCTTTTCCTTGGCGTTGAATCAATAGCGACTTGTGGTTTTTTACAAATGTTTTCGCATGCCTTCGCAATCAAAAACCTTCATGAAGTACCTTTCAATGCACACTAAGGTCCAAAATTCGAAGTTTGCTCATTGAACTGAATTTGGTTTGTACCTAGCAAGTTATTTGCGAGAAGATTATATAAAGACAATTCTACCAATTTCTAGACTTTACCTGATTCTCTACTCTAAAAACGTTCTCCAATTTACATTGAGAAACAAACTCTTTATGCTCTGATTAGAATCTTATCTCTTGTATTTATCGCGAATGTAGATTGCAAGTGTTTGTTGTGTGTTGTTCCTTCCCCATAAACTTGAGACGTGATGACAATGTACCAGTTGGTGATCCATAGAATTTTCTTCGGTGAGGAGAGATACAGAATTTTTTGATCGACGGAATGTGACGATAGCCATGTTAAAATTTTTTATTGAGATGCTCTTCAAAATTTTGCAGGCCTACAACTTCGAAAGTATGACAAAACGAGGCTTGACGACAGCCACTTTTTCTAAAAAATTGCCCATAAAGATGATTTCATTTTTTGAGGTTATTTTTTTCCAAATCATTCATCATGGTAAAAGTCGTTTACACAAGATATAAACCTTTTCAAACGTTAAGACCTTCTAAAAAATTTTCATGGTTTGCAAACCTTCAAAATCCTTTGATGAAGACTAGTAGAGCTTTATTGAATCCTGCTTACTTTAGTTCTTCGAATTAGCTAAAGTTCTGTGTGCAACCTCAGGATTGGTTTGGTCTAGGTTAATCTACGACTAGATGGGTGAATTTCACGCGAGTACGAAATGTGTTGGCGGTAAAAGCGAAAGCTGCCACCTGTACAATTTCGCAGAATTGAACTTTCACTCAGGTATCCGCCAAAAATTATGGATTTTTAGAGGTTGATTTTTCCAATTGTCACAAGCATCGACGCTTCAGTATGATCATGTATAAAACACGGATTAAACAATCAAAAAAGCAAATTGGTTAACCCTTCCTCTAGCCAAGTTCCATGTAGAGTGAAGACTGACATATTATTTGTATTCATGTACATTCTTTTTACTTTTTCATCCTGAACTCCATAATAATTAGTACACCAAGATCGAAAGAGAAATTTTTTTTGCTTAGCATGTGAAAACTGCGTCTCAGAGTCCCAGTAAACCTGTCAAGCTCCATTGTATAGCTCCGACTAGCACTTAGTCAACCTATTCAAATGGGCCTTTACTCATCTTTGCACACAAAAATCGATTTATTGGAAAATTGCCAGATCTAAGAAGATCGATTAGAAAGCTAAATGCTGAAGGACTGTACAACTCTTACCCCCTCAAGTACTGGACTTTCACCTTTTTGCCGTCAATTTCGTCTTCTTCCTCCTTTCCATATAACTGATTGATTTCATTTGTTGTTTACTCAGCTCGTTCTTACGCCTTTTCAACTTTTGGAAAATCGATGTTTTGAGTGTTTGCCTCATCCTTTTTATGACTATTTCGGCGCAAAAGTGGAGGGTTCACGGCCTAAATTGAACTTTTACCTCATTCATGGACGAGATTCGATTCAGGATGAGGTTTCCGCTTGTGGTTTTGTTGGCGATTATGGGAGTTACGACAGTAATAGCCGAAGAAGGAGGTAGAGCAAAGAGGAGTTATTATGGTTACGACTATGGCTATGGAGTGTGAGTTTCTTAACTTTTTTGAATTAGTTTTTATACCATTTGTTTTTTTTTTTGAATTTTACATGACTGAGTTGAGTCCTTCTTTGCACTTTGTGCTTCAAAGTTGAAAAAATTTTCATATAAACCGGGACTATAACTTCGGGTAGTTTTGGGCTGCGATGACTCTCCGAGAAATTAAGTTTGAATAAAAATAAATTTATGCAGTGATGGTGATTTCTGGTACGCCGGCCGCATTCTCGGTATCATCCTTGGCCTCTCTTTACTCCTACTATGTTGCTGTCTTCCGTGCGTGTGCTTAGCCGGTATCTGGTTCCTTGGCTGGTTCGGAATCCGTCAACGTCAACGCCAGCGCTCAACTGCCAGAAACCAAGGTAAGCTTTAATATTTTTAGGTCAGTCCTGTATTCACTTCGGCTTCAGTTTAGCCTCGCCACCATTGACGAGTGGAAACGTTATCTCGCATCCGATTCGCTATCAAGATTCACCTCCTCCACCTCGGGCACGCGACTATTCAGGTGGTGGTGGTGGAGGTGGTGTTATCTATTCTGCTGAAGATCGTTACTACTCGTCATCTGCCACCCCCGGTGATCGCCGTCCTGATGCTTACAGAGCCTCAAAATTCTAGCCTTTCGCAATTATGTCTTTCATTCTTAAGTTGTACATATCAATTGATTTGCCGCCCCTTATTAATCACATTCACTTCATAAAAGCATTGCTTTGTATTAGTGGTGCAGTCATTTATAGCAATTCTTGTAATAAAAGAGTAACTGACTGTTTAATACTATTGAGTTGGTGCTATACGATTTGAGATAATCGAAAGGCATCGCCTGACCAAATTGAGGATTTTTGGATTTTGATGCTATCTGATAGCGGGGCCTTAACAAAATATTAGCTCGTCCCGGTGCAAAAGATGAATTCTGGAGCGAAAAATTGCTCCAGGTAGAAGCAGCCCAGGTAGTTCCGCCCACCAACGTGGGTGTTCTGGGGGTAGTGGGCTCGAAGGGCTTTACAATAGATTAAGATGTCGAAAGTCTGTCCATTATAACGTGGGGGCAATTTTTAACAACTCCAGATACAATGTAATCAGATTTTGAACTTTTTATCTTCAGACCACCCACGTTGAAGGGCGGAGCCACCTGAGCAACTTATTCTGAAGCGTTTTTCTCGCTTCGATATTCATTGCAGCGAGACTTGATCGATTACTTAGTTAGGGGCCCCGCCATTAAGCAACGCCAAAATTTCACCAACTTCATTTCGAGTGGATGGTGCTTTCAAAAGCATGACTCGACAAAGCTGAACTGGTATACCTATGTGTTGATTTTTCGCCCCATGTAAAGTGAATCAAGCCCATTCCCGAAGCACATCTCTTACCCTGGAAAAATTACTAGCAAATTTTCTCGCATACAGTTTCGCGCACACTCGGCAGCCTGCGATATTCCTTCTCAGTGCCAGACTCAGACAATGGCGAGCACCCGCCGACTACCCACGGTCTACTTACTTACTTAGATGGCCCGTCCTCACTCGCCGGGAGGCCCCAACATTTGACCATTCATTGCGGTTTCGTGCAATCGTCATCCATGAACGTCTCGGTACGTGCCTGCGATTGCTGGTTAATCCTGAATTAGTTTCCAACTGCTGACGCTGGTTTAGGCGATCAACAAATACGTCGCACCACTCTTCGGTGGTCTACCACGTGGACATTTAAAAGCTCTTCAAATCCATTCCAATGCTCTTTTAGTCCATCTATCGTCTTCACTTCTCATTCCACTTCTCATGTCCGGTCCATCTATGTTTGCTCTTCGATACCTACTCTGCTGAATCTTGTGAACGCGAGAGTTGCTTAAATTTTAAAGCTCCAAATCCCAAGTCCACACTGTTTGAACTTCCTTATCTTCACAAGCTTCTTCTCGAGCGCCCTGTGTGCTGTTTATAACGCCTTCGTAGTTGCTGAAGTGTCAGGCCAGGTTTCGGCTGACGTAACACAGAGCACAAGACGTGTAGCATCAAATAGGTGAGCACCTAAGTTCGGGTTAGCGAGATGGGCTGTAGCCTCTTTCAATGGTCCGAATGCTGCCCATGCCGCTCTTCGTCTTCTGCTAAGTTCGTCCTTCATATCGTTGTTCATGTTGATGGTGCGCCCTAGGTAAACGTAGGATGTGGTTTCCTTTATCGGTGATCCATCCAAGGTAACTGGCCTTCGCTGCACCAGTTGTTAGTCATGAACTGCGTCTTCGTCCAATTAATCCTGACCCCTATCCTTCTTCCGGCTTCATTTGACTCGTTCAGCGTCTTTTCGGCTTCGCTAATGGATTTCGAGAATACAACGATATCGGGCGACGCCAAGCCCATCTCCCGAAGGTGTGCCATCGAGTACCCGATAAGCGCCCAAGCAGTACCATTGGGTGGTCCTATAAGCGCGCCCGACGGTAGCTCGGTTGCAGACCCGATACGCAATCGGTATCTGAGTGGAGTACGTATGATTTTGAACACCTGTCTTCATTTTGAGCCTGGCATAAAGGTCAAAATTTACACAAAAACACAAGGTGACGTCTAAGTTAGCTACAGTCACGCCTCTACGCTTGATCTCAAGGTCAAGGACTCCAGTGGTGGTCATTCAACACACCATCAATGACCAGAATCTGACTTTACTTGACTAAATACTCAAGCGGCAAACGTCGAGGGTAGCCCTATCATGCGCTATATCCCACTCAAGTAGAATTTTTACAGCATGTAAGAATTTAGGCTTCCAGAAAGGCCCCAGGCTCACCAGAATGACTCTATTAGGCCGTGGACTAAAGGGGAGGGCGTCCGAAAATCAAATATGAGGGCGTCCTGTAAGGTCTGGGGCTGTCCCGAGTGTTTTACCTTGGACCGCGGGTATTCCACTGAAATAGTTAGAGTGTGCGGCCTCTCCCCCGAGATGGCATGGAGCTGCGAGTTGCCAAGTATGTAAATCTAAGACTGCGGATGGTCAATCCAAGAAACTGAGGACCCATAGTAAACTCCACTTTGCTTCAGATGATCTCAATTGAAGGCCTTAGTTGAGCTTTTTAAGATAAACTGACCAGCGGCCGCTCCCAAGCTTAAAAATGCGACCTGATCTGACGGGTGAGCGTCAGGGCAGGTGCCGCGATGATTTCACCTGATTTTCATAACAGCATCGTCGAATTTGAGATGAATTGACCGAAATAGTGTGCAAAGGATGAGACGCAGAGAAAAATCCCGTAAGTTGCTCGTGAGTACCATCGGCTTCCCGATTGCCGCGAGGGCGGACTCGGGCGAGCGTATCAGCGGGTAAACTAGTTTTCTTCCGTTTTGCATAGTTTGCCTTATTTTCGTAAAAAACTGCGTTGAGTAAAATTTCTTCTTTTATTCTCATCGTCTTTCTGTACGGAAAATGTAGTTTTCCATGAGAATTCGTGCTAAAATATCGTGAATTTGTTTTGTTTACGCATTTGCTAGGTGAACTTTTTTATTGCGGTCATCGATTTTTTAGTTACTGACCGCTATCAATGATTACGTGCCGATGCCGCATAAACTAATCCCGCTAGCCAGTCCCGAACCACGGTGGCTGGCGTTGCATCTCAATCAGTTATCCATTTGACCACGCCCGAACAAACAGTGTTGCTGTTTCTTCTTTGAGAACGCGCATCCTTGTCATTTTCTATAAAAAGATCAACATTATCAATAGCTCGCAGGATTGAGGCGCTGCACGATCAACCAGGTCCGCCTCAAGGAAGATGCCATGACGGGGAGTTTACTACGGGCCAAGGTCGCACTGTCAAAAGGCAGTGATAGGGACCGCGGGTGCTCGCAATAATTGTCTAAAAATGTGCAGTTGAGGACAATGCACAGTTGAGAGTGTTTCGAGAACTTAGTCATACATGATGTTGTTCAACTAAAATCTTGCTAAATGATATAATACTATTAGATTCCAAAGCATATTCTGTATCATCGCTTTTCTTGCTATTTTCTAGCATCACTTTTTCGAATATTCTAGTTCGACTTTATTAGACTGCTTCAAAGTTCTATCCAGTTTTTAGTTGCCTAGTTTTAACGCAGATATTTTCTTAGAGTTTTGCGCTTACTGCAGTGTTATGATAGCCATCTAAAAGCACTTTTCTTGCTCTTTACGGCATACTGATGCTGAGCAAGACGATCCCAGTGATGAGATTTCAAGCCCGAAACCAGTTACCAGGAGCAGTCAGCCTAAAAAAGTTTATACGAAGAGAAATTCCGCTTCTTTCGTAAAATTACCCATTTAATATTTTATATCGATTAAGGATGTAATGGGCTAATAGCGCACACTTTTGCTCTCACAGAGCGAGTGTCAAGCTTTTTTATTTTATCTTCAAAGGTTGAAAACAAATATGTATTTATGATAGCCGTGAACTTCCAGCAAACTTTAAATTGTCAAAAATATTAATTTCTTGACATAACAGACTATCACAGCAGGTCATGCTTATGGCATGACCTGTAAGGGCCGAGGACCATGACCATTACCGAAGTACCTTACCGAAGTACCTGTAAGGTACTTCGGTAACAGTAAAGATACATTTGTTAGGAAATGCCGACAATGTCGGCACACTCCGGCCAGCGGGAGGAAGATGATACAGCGAAAGGAAAAGAAAATGCTGATATGTCAAGAAACTTTCTTTTTTGGATATCGTACTGGTCGTTGTAGTAGTGATGCGTAAGTGAAAGCAAAACTTTTTTGCATGATTTTTGTAGTACCTGCGATGGCATGGAGAAGTACATGGCTGTAAATAATGCAGGATACTTTCGCATCCATGTGGAAAAGTGTTTTGAAGGTTATGAGGATCCTGAGACTGCTCGTGACTCTTCTGTAGACGGTTTGGGATTTAGGAAGCACATCTTTCACTGAGAACAGTACATATGCTTGTGGCAATCCAGGTGTCGTGACCTGTACCAAGGCCAGGGTTGCAATTAGATCAGCTGGTTCGTTGTCATCAATATTGTCTGGTTCTGTTGAATTTCTGTTAGACTGACCTTCAAGCAGAGGTTGCCCATTGCTATTTTGCTGGCTCATAGCGGCGAGATTTTTCCTGCGTCTTATGTTTTCCAATTCCATATCAAATTCTGTCATGCGAATTTGCACATCTTGGACAAACATCTGAGTATCAGCATGGTTCAATAAAATCTTATCTCTTTGTCGAGCTCCTCCATTTCCGCTGTCATCACTTTCCTTATGGCAAGGGATTCTTCGCTTTGGTACAGTTTCTCTAGCACATCAATCCTCATTTGTAGTGACTGTGTGGCGTTCGATTTTTCTTATAATTCGCGCATATTGGCGCAAATTGTAGACGCATATCATCCTTCGCACTTCATCGTTATCTGGAAGTATGGTCTTCTCACCGCTGTATGGGTACTTTTGCAGTACATCCGTGAGATTCTTGGTCAGCCGCTTAACTTGTGTGTAGTGTCTGGGAAAAGCTTCATTGGTGTTCCCTCCTGCCGTTGTAGCAAAGCACTGTGTTGGCCTTCATATTTGACCGATGTACCAGAATGTATCGATGGTTCTAGGCTGTACAGTAGCCTTAAGCGAAATAGCGGCTGGTGGAATGTGTTATACAGAACACGAAAGCATTTACACTTTATTGAGACAGGCGACCTGCACACGTGGGTGCTGTGGTAGAATGCTGAGGATAAAAGGTAGAGAACATAACAGACTATCACAGGTCATGCTTATGGCATGATCTATAAGGTACTTCGGTAACAGTACAGATACGGTCGCTAGGAAGTGCCGACAATGTCGGCACAGAAAGTTTCGAGACTTCGCGGAAAAATCCCAAAAAACCATTGGTACTATTTATTTGAAATAGCATTGCCGAAAGCGGTATAGCAGCACAAATATGTGAATCGTTGTCAACTCTAGGGATGAATTTTGCGATGAACAGTGGACACGAATTCTGACGGTTGAAGTTATATGAACAACTCAAGCAAAGCTCTTTTTTTTTGACCTAAAGCACAAACTTTCGTATTCGAGATTTTCTTGCTGTTACAAAACTTGATAACTGCTACTCCTTGCGTCCAGTGCAGCTCAAAACGAGGAGCTTTCATTCCGTCAGACAGTCTGGAATGTTTTTTCTTTTTGCTCCAAATTGTCTTTTTTCCTATTACAGAGACTCTCATCATCGTACCAATATATTAAGATAATATTCTTCAATATAGATAAGTTGTTTGGTATGTGGGGAGGCCTTGTGTACTCGTTGAGTTTTTAAACCAAATCTTAACCTTTTCTAGAGTTAGCACGGAAGCCCCAAAACTTGGCTTCTACCGCCCACAAAGTGCTATGATGATGCGAGCACGCAGTATGTACCAGTCCATAAATTCATGTGTTTGGCCAGAGAAAGTCCGAAACGCTGAGCAGCTACCCAGCACGCATGCGTCACTTCGCAAAAATGATTAACAGGAAAAGGGTCCTTAGTCGAAGTGGCCTTTCCAGCTGAGATGCATACAGTCTTGAATGGCATCGATCGTTGAATTCAAAACTGTTTTTTATATGTATGTCTTATATCCTTAAGGTGATTAGTTATGAGCGTTTTATTTGAAAAACTGAACGCTTGATCAAAATAGATGCAATGGTGGCAGGCATTCCAACTAGCACATGGAGTAATGACGGGAACAGAGGATAGCAACGGAGATTTTATTTTCGTTGAGGCGCACACCAGTCAACAGTGCTCTGCTTCATCTGAGCTCACGATTGCTATAAACGATTTTCTTCTAACTACGCCTTCATATTTTCGCTACGAAAAATCTCATATCTCCTTGTTCAGAAGCGCTCGGCAGGTAAGCAAAGATTCAAAATCAGTTTGAATCTCTTTTGGAAAGGCCGCTTTAACTGAGGTCTTTTTGGCAAGCTTTTTAAAGCGAAGGTCTCAAGTTAGCTCTGCAAATAACTTCAAAATTTCAGCACCGATCATTATTACACTGTGCCTTTGCTCCCGATCATGGACAAGCGTAAACAAAATATTCGACTAATTACAGTATGAAAAGTTATGCATTTCTGCATTCAAAAGGGATGATGGCGAAAACGTGAGCGTAAAGGGCCGGGTATACTTCATGCGAATTCAGTCGCGACGCGCAGTATCCCAACTGTCCATGACTCAGTGTAAGCACATTTTAAATGTACAGAAGATGGGGCACTGAAATCGCGTGAAGTATGCCCGGCCCTCAAAAAAATCAACTTATTAACCTATGAGATGGAAAGATTATCAGCATCACTACCAAAAGTGCCCATACCCAATTATAAAGAGACATTTAAGCCTAATCTTTATCATTTACACTCAAGAACGCCTCATTATGATAACCAGCGAACACCTTGTAATAGTAAATGTTCACATATGAAAGCAGTATCTGCCCAAAATTGCTTTTATTAAAAACAACACGACAACATCTTTATTTCTTAGCTACATCGCCTCTCAATTTCGGAATGAAATGATGAAAGTTTGAGTTCAAGGCCTATCGTTTCGACAGGCAAATTCTATACTCCTTTTAGACTGTGGATACAATAGATAATGTTATAGGATTTCATCGGTTTAGTGCCAGAAATCTGAATTGAATTTGCTTGATAAGCAGAGCTTTTTCTGAAAAAAAAAATGAACTAACCATCATTCCAGTCCCAAACTCCGGTTGTAGATGCTATCGACAAGTCAGAATTGGCGGCAGCTGGAAGATAAAATTGCAGTCATCTGCGAGGCAAACGAAGTAAGCAAACTGATCGAACTGGCTACATATTGATAGTGCGAAAGGTGGTACCGCACCTTAAAAAATTTCGCCGAAATCGCGGTAACCAGGCAGTTCAATGTTTTTTTTAGATATCTTACATTTACTGGGTGCCCCATGATTTTTTACCGTCTTTACTACACCGTCGTCTTTTTGTATCTTTTCCTCAGTCGATGTGGCTTGAGTAATCATTCGACAGGGCAAAGCAAGTTCTACAAGATGGCTATCAAGAGTCTGTCCAACTCGTACCCCACGTGAAGTTTTAAGCTGAAATCTGATAGCATCCAAAAATAAATCTTCAAAAATCGTATCTCTGCCCTAAAAATCTCAGAAATTCCCGTTTATTCTACCACATGCCTGACACATCGAACAACCAATTATGTACTTTCTGCATTTTTTCTATGGTCAGAAGTAAAGTAAAAATGAGTGGAGTAAAGAGGCAAACTCCGCCTCTACACTTCCTGAGCTCCTCCCACGCACGTAATCATATAGCTCATGCATACAGAGTACGATCATGTGCTTGTACCCTTTGTAGGTGCCCCAGTTCTTGCAAATGCTGATGCTCAGGGTGAGAATGCCAAAAAAGACACCCTCATACAAGAGGCACAAGACTCTGTAAGATGCAAACGTTCAATTCGTTCCTTTCACATAAGGTGCGCTCCTCATGAAGAACTTTGAAGTACCGTAGCTATGCCCAGTCGCACATGGACAGAAATAATGCGAATCTTGAGCGATGCCTATTGTAGTTCCTCACACTCTCGCAGGCACATAATTGTCGCCTCACTTAGGGAATGGTGCCTTTGAGAGCACTTTTACAAAAATTGCCTTTAAACCTATCGGTTTATAGTCACACTAACAAACAGACGTACTCATTGGTCTGTTGCTGTGTGTAGCTGTTGCCACTGGTAGCATGTTTGAAGCGCTGAAGTTACCACAGCTCAAGCTCTTCGTTACTCAGTCGTATATCGTTCTTCAGACTAGCATTCACACTTTGCTTTTGTAATAGACTATTTGCTGTTGTTGTTCTTGGCAAAGCAGATGATGAACTTGCACCTAAGAAAGAGCGAGGCATTGTTTTGAAAATGTAAAAATTATCACTTTAATTTCGCACTCACTCCTTGGTAAGTCTGCGTTGTCGCTGGATATCTTGTAATTGGCATATGAAAATATGAGCTGGCGAGAATGGCACAACTATGTCACAAGGTCTTGGAAAGTAGTCGTGGTTTTAGTTCTAATAAGCAATCACACCATACTGGTGTTGAGCTCCTTGCCGTTGTTGGTCTTGACAGTCAAGAAGATAAGGGGATAGCTGGATTTGCAGGTGTTTATCACAGTGTCTTTCTATTCGGAAGGTAACGCACACCAGCACGCATCTCTGATTGGATTGGTTGTACGTGGCAGGACTGAAATTAGTGAAAGCTGTGATTGTGGCTGCCCTCTCAGTATTGGTTAAAAATTTAAGTTCATAAAGAGCACTTACTCTTTTCTAACGTTCTGCTGACCACAAGTCCTGTTTCAAGGGGCGTGGGAAGTATAAATGGACTGGGATTCAGGACTAAATCAAATAATATTCTTACTACGGCTTTCTTAAAACTAGATTTCACATGAAAGGTTTTTTTATATAGACTCTTCTAAGCTTATAACTAGCATTTACTCTTTTTTGGCTTGCTTCTGATAAATCTTGTCTTACTGGGCTGAATGGAAAATATAAATGGATTGAGGTTCCGCTTAATCAAATGATATGCATTATCAGGACTCTCAAAACTATATTTTACTTGAAAAGGTTTTTGAATAGACCCTTCCATGATTATTCACTTACTCCTTTCTGGCGTTTTGCTAATAGCAAACTGTTTTTCTGGGCAGCGTGGGGAACACAAATCGATTGGGATTTTCGACTAAATGATTTAATCAAAAGATTGTTGCATGATAGGTTTCTCTGAACTAAACCTTATACAAGAGGATTTTTATACAGATTCTTTTGCGTTCATGATCAGCGCTTATACTTTTCTGGCGTTCTGCTGACCGTAAGTCCTGTTTCACTGGGTTGAGCAGGAAGCACAAATGGGCTGAGATTCCGGACTAAATCAAAAATATTTTTATTATCAAGTTTTCTTAAAACTAGACTTCATATAAAAGGTTGTTTATATAGATTCTTCTAAGCTTATAACTAGCACTTACTCTTTTTGGCTTGCTCCTGATAAATCCCGTTTAGTTGGTGAGTGGAAAATACAAATGGATTGGGGATCCGCACTTAATGAGATATGCATTATCAGATTTTCTCAGAACTATACTTTGCATGAAAAGGTTTTCAACATAGACTCCTCCGAGATTATGATCAGCATTTGCTCTTTGCTGATGGTATGATCCTGGTGCACTTGGCAGAGTAGGTGATGGGTTTGAATATGAGGAAGAATCAACTTAATCAACTAATATTTTGCACTAATAGGTTGTCTCAAAAGATAGCTTTTCTTTTGCAAAAATTGAATTACGAAGAGCGCAAAAAGTGATTTTACATTTGAGGTGACCAAATGTTTAACTTTTACTAAAATCAGCACATTAATGACGCGCCCTTCCAAAAAGTTCTTATTACTTAACGTACTGCTCAGATAATCGCCGGGGGCAGGCGGTCATGCGAGTTTTGAGCAAGCGGACACCGGAAGAATAGTGATTTCTTGCGGTCCGCTTGCAAAAATTTGGGATTTTGGCCGATTCCTGGACGAACACTCGGAGGACTACCGCGGTCTTTCTACGGATAATTTGCGGCCCAGTGGCCGCATTCTCGCGGACTTTCCGCGAGAATATGCAATATTATTGTGGGCCGCACGGTCCTTTGTGAAGGACCGCACAGCCCGTGGGTACCTTCCGCCTAAAAAGGTACCCCAAACTTGAGTAATTAAGCCATCGTTGAACCTCTGCCACATAGAGTCTCACCTTTTTCGGCGTACACCCGAAACTGCTTAAAAGAGTCCGAGCACCTGCTGATGATTTGGCCAGCGCTCGCTGAAAGAGATTATTTGATGAGCGCCTGCAGAAAATGCTGCATTGCTGCCCGCTGGTAGAATATGTGATCGTAAAGGAAGCGCCGCCCGCTGAAGGTTTGGCCCCCAAAATTCTGCTGACCGCCTGCAAAAAAGCGCGAGTTGCGGGCAGCCTGCCTCCGGCGATTATCTGAGTGATTGCTAAGCAGGACCGTTTTTCTTTGTTCCGTTTGTTCTAACCGTTTGCTCAAAAGGATATGTCTAACTTACCTTACTCATCTTACGAGGTCTACCTCATGAATGACCCGAATTCTGTGTGCTGAAGCTTTCGTTGAGGACCGGGGGCTGAATTTTGCCCCTCTCCCCATGTAGATAAGCAACGCCGAAAAACATGGGCTAATTTTCATGACCATTTACAGGGTTCCATCGACTTTCTGTTTTGTTCATATACATATAAAGAAGTTGAACCTTGTTATCCACTATTGCGTCATGGAATTGTCATCCGCTATCACATCATTTCCCCGTAGCTCGTAAAAGTTAAGCTCATTTGAATCTTGCAGAGAGGTGAGTGCAGTGTTGCGAAGCGAGGAAGCCCTAAAAGAACACAAACACAACAACACAAGCATTGTCGTAGATCAGTAAGGACAGGAAGGAAGAGGGGTAGGGGAGAGGGTAAGCTCTACATGTGAGGAAATCGTATGTACTTTTTGCCAATCATTACAAGTCCAAGTTCTGGGCAAAATCAGGGATGTCAGCCAATGATCATGCAATAATTTTTTTGATTTTTGCGGGTGCTACGTTTGACCATTCAAAACTGTAAATGACTTGGACTTCATTCTAGGCACGCAAGCGTCAGAGCAGCTTAGGGAACAATACCTTCACTTTTGGTCTTACGAGGGAAGGATACTTGGTGAGCGTGGCCTTTTGCAATGAGATGTATACCAGTAGGTGCGTCTTGGAACGCTGATTCTAAATCTATGTTCATTATCTGCTGTGCGACTCCCTGGACGAAGTTATGAACTTTTTTCCATATTGTTTTTGCGAGATTTAGGCAATCAAAATCGTCAGTATCCAGGTTTTTTGGACTTTAATGTACTGGTGTGACAGTTTTCCTGAACTTAATGTGAAGCTTTACTTTATCTGTACGCTTTTTTGTAATGAGTAAGCGGAGATTTTAACGATATTGGTGAATCCTGCATCAAAACAGTGCAAATTCTGGTGACAAAAAATGTCCATAACTACTTTCGGAAGAGCGCACAGCAGATAACAAAAACAGATTTGGAATCAGCACTTGAAGATTCATTCAGTGGTGTACGTTTCATTTCAGAAGGCCACGGTCACCAAGTATCCTTTCCTTGTTAGCATGCAATGCAAAAGCAGTGCGAAAGACCGACATCCTCGGAGGTAACGTCTTTGACGTCGTTCTTCTACCTTGAGCAAATACCAAGCGGCACTAATGTGGCAATTTTTAGTGGCAAAAAGCTTGGATTTACTACTACCGAAGTTGTCTATCACTAAACTGTTGTTTCTTTTCAGCTCGCTATGTGCTCAAATAATGGCACCCACTCCTTATCGTGAACAAAAAATCATGAACCTGCCTGAAACCTTAGCAGGGATTTACCTAAAGTGCTGTTTCAAGAATATCGTGCTTAATCCCCACGATAAAGGCAATTCGCGTGATATAAAAGTTTCCCACGACCGTAATGCTTTCCTTATAGGACCACTGCCGCGCGCGAACCCTTCGGCGGCTTTTGTTTAAAGGCAGCGTACAGCCAAAATAAATGCAAGAGATGTTGCAACAGCAACTGCAACTGCAATTGCAGCTTACGCTGTTATGGATTCGTCCGGAGGAGGCGGAGCGAAAGAAAAGAGGCGGCGTGAAAGAAAATTGAGGGGGGTTTTCTCCACTCAGAAGCAACATTGGGAGACCGGACCAACGCAGTTGGTCTTTTTCTGGGCCCAGTATATACACGGTGTAGAAAGATCTAGGAAATTCGGTAACTCAAATTTTGGGTGTACGCTGCCTTTAAGCAAAAACAGGGGAGGGAGATTTGTCGCGTGCGTTACGCGTTAGGACAGGTTATCAGGATGGCGCTGAAGACCGCCATGCAAAACGAACGTTTCCCCATTTTGTGGATATCTGAGATCTAAATTGGCCCGAAAGCAAAAAATGTCCATTCAAACTCTGCAACTCACCATAACTTCACAATAATGCGTCATGACAGCGGGCAAACATTATATTTACAAGCAGTATGCTTGTAAACCGTTACATATAAGGTTTTGAGCAAATCTGGAACTTCGACCCATCTAGTACTGTACACCCACCGTAACCTAAGAAAATGCGCTATCCTGCGAAATCAGCATGATATTCATGTTCAGCGCGCTGATTGACTCCCTAAACGAAGTTCAAAGCAAATCTATGTTTTCGATCCCATACCGTATAACCACCATAACTCTATGAAAAGTCCTAATATGCAGAGAGAGAGTGTGAAATTCGTAATCAGCATGTCGAATAAAAATTCATGATTTTGAATTCCTACCGTAAACCTATCGTAACCACAGGGGGAACGTTCTGCAAAGTTTGATATCTGTAATCAGCATGTAAGATAACCCTTATACACGAAGTCTGAGCAAGCTCTACGACAAAAAAAAATTTTGGGGCCCGGATAGCCGAACAGCGCCAAACTAATATTGTACTCGTAATCAGCATGATTACGAGTACAATATCAGTTTACCCCCTGTGCCAACTCCTAGCCCCGTAGTTCAAACATTGCAGAATAAGCGATAAAATCGATAAAAGTGATCGATAATTCTGAAAACTAATATTGTACTCGGAATCCCCGTGCTCACTTACCCCCCTGTGCCAACTCTCAGCTCCGTAGGTGAATTTCTCAAAAAAATCGAAATCGATATCGATCGATGTCGAAAAGTAGCCTATGACACCCGGCGGTCCCTAAGTGTATGTGTGCAAAGTTTGGTCCGGATCGGTTCAGAAATGGAATTTTCTATTCGAAACGTACGTACAAACATACATACATACAGACAGACAAACAGACATTCAGCTTTGTATACAGGGAGATGCGATAAGGTGAGAATGACCCTTCCAGGGTGAAGGGGGTTACAGTGGTCGCAGCCCCTCCGGGTGAAGGGTGTTTCACTTGGTAGATAAATTATAAAATGTCGACCGGGGGGGGGGGGGCGTGGTGTTCTCTCACCATTTTTCCTAGTAAAAGTTTATGATTTTCAATTCCTTGCCATCACTGGTTGTCTTTTTTAAAATGTGAATCGATGTGCTGCTTGATTAGCACACATTTATATTTCTGATTAGCACCTTGTATTTCCTTTTCCCTACTTACATCACCCTGCCTGTTTTTAAAACCATAAAAGATGTGAATGCGAGAAGATTCGTTTCGGAAAGAGTTAGAAAGTTTTTAAGCATTTGCGAATTTTCTGAAAGAAAAAATTTGTAATTTGTGTAGATGAACAGCAACGTCAGCAAAGAAATTGTCTTTGAAACCATGTTGTCCTCCGCTTTCAGAGAATATATAGTTTGTCTGGAGTCTATTGAAAAAGGTGCGGTGAAGGGTGTAATAATAATTTCTGGAGGTTTACGAGTTTTTAGGATAAAAAAAATCCGTAACTTTTGTAGGTGAACATCTTATACGCCGTCACGGTCACCGCTTTCAGAAAAATACCTTGCCTATGGTCCATTAAAAAAAAGTGCCTGGGTGAAGGATATCCTACAGTCTGCTCCAATCCTAACCAGGCCAAAATTGGCATGGCGGGAGCCCGCGTCGCGAGGGTTTCGCGCCACATCTGCGGCTAGCTAGTCTGCTCTCTCCTCAATCTCTTCGCTCTCTGCGACAACGCGCATATGCAGCGCAAACCCCTAGCGCTGCGAGCGCTCAAATTCAGCCGACGGTTCGGCTTGATCCCGATTGGGGCAGACTGTAATGATTTCTGGAGATTTTCGATTTTTTACATAAAAAAAATCCATAACTTTCAAAAATGAATATCTTTACAACGGGATGGTCACCATTAGAACCACCTCATCCTCCGCTTTTAGAAAATATATACTTTCCCTATGTTCCACTAAAAAAAGTGCGGGGTGAAGGGTGGTTGAGACTTTTACAATGGGAGTGCTCAAGTAGACGTCTTTTTACAATGGTAAAAAAGCCTCTACTTGAGCACTCCCATTATATCAACCACCCTTCACCCGGCACTTTTTTTAGCGAACCATAGGCAAAATATTTTCTGAAAGCGGAGGACGAGACGGTTCCAATGATAATTATAACGGCGCACAAGATGTTCATCTGTAAAAGTTGTGAATTTTTTAATGTTAAAAACAAGGAAATCTCCAGAAATCACTAGGACACCCTTCACCTAGGCACTTTTTCAAGAGGATCTTAGACATACTATATATCGCCTGAAAGCGTAGGACGAGACGGTTCTAATGTTGGTCATCCCGGCGTACAAGATGCTTACCTGCAAAAGTTACGGATTTTTTTTAGCCTAAAACTCATAAATATCCAAAATTCACTACCCACACCCCTCATCAAGTATCTCCTCTGCTTAACCTTACGTCGCTGTTGTTTTATTTCTCGGCTTTTGGTGAAGGGGGTCACTTGGTCCCGGTTCAGGGATGAAAGGGGGTGAGAAAATTCTCACACTATCGCACCTATGATACAGGGTATTCCAAAAGTAAGTACACACTTTTCAATCGTTAATAGCTCTCTTCCCACTGTGTCTTTTTCCACCATTCAAGTAACATTCTATAGAGGAGGTTTAGCATAGATTTGTAGTATCGAGCGAATCATAGATCGCTCTTCGTTACTGTAAGATTACTATAGGAACTTCGACAAGGATTTTAGAACATTGGAAGCCATATTTTGCTTCGGAACAAAACCAAACAAGCCGCAAACTCTTATACTATGGTAATGGAAGCCGATAATTCCAAATATGAGATCTCTACTTTACTGTGATGCTTCTTTCCAAAGTTATTCCAGGTAAACCATAACAACCGAATTCACTGTATTTTTTGTCAAATGGCATATTTCACTATGGCTCTACATGCTGGAAGTTCTTACTATAATCCTACAGAACGAAGAGCGACCGATGACTCTATCGATACTGTGAATCTAAGTTGAAGCCTCCTCTAAAGAATGGTGCTTGATTGGCAGAAAAAGACCCATTGGAAAGAGAGATATTGACGATTGAAAAGTGTGTACTTACTTTTGGGACACCCTGTATGAGATAAAAATCCACAGATGACGAAAAAAGACCAGATTTTGCAAAAATTTATCAGAACATCTCCAAAGTAGAGATAAATTTTACGGGCCGTGAAAAGCGTTACAAAAAGATTTGAAAATTATTGATCGTCTAAAAATATTCGTTTTGTCGAGTGTGTGGAACTTCAGGGAGGCTTCGGAAGCAAGATTTCTAAGCCAGTTGGACATTTCGAATTTTTATCAAATTTTACATCCTTCAAAAGTGTTTTGAGCTCCTGGGGATGTTCGTTTTTTAGGAATTTCTGAAAAAATTTTCACCTTATTATAGTTATTTCTACTTTTTTTGCAATTTATTGTAAAGAACATGTACTGGTTATCTGCTTTTTGATCTCCTTCTAAGCTTACGGTTTTCAGCCAAGCTACTTCCTCTTACGACCCCCCTTCTCACCTTAGTTGCCCACTTTACGACCCCCTATTGCGACAGTCGCATCACACGCTTTACTCTGCTTGCGACAACACTCAAGCTTTAGCGTCAAAACGGAAGGGGCGTTTCGACTTTTTTCCGGCTTTTTTGGGCTTTTTCGGGCTTTGTAAGGCCTTTTTCGGCGAAGTATGACGGGTCCCTTACTCTCCGCTGGCGTTCTGCTGAATCCTATTTCGCTTGGCAGGGCAGGAGGTAGTGTAATTGAGGGATACCCACGGGAGATAAGGTTTATACGTGGAGACTCAACTCAATTAATATCAGCTTGTCTCAGCAGAAGACTTTTTTGCAAGAAATGAAGTACCAAGTGTAAGAATTGGTTTTACAGAGATGACGTGTCTACGTTTCATCAAAATCAGCAAGATAATTGTCGCACTTCACAAAGAGGGCCCGTTTTGTCGCCTTCCTTTTCGCAAACGGCGTTACTGAAGATCTTCCTGCATGAATAGTCTCTAACACAGCCTCTTTTATTCGTGGAGTCTGCCAAATATAACGGTTCTTCCAAAAGCGGTCTGAAAATAACAGAAATATGCATGCTTAATCAACCCGTCAGGCATAAGGGATATCATAGCTTGTATAGGCTTGTTTAGGCGTTTAGCTTAGATGTTTCACACGACACTATATGGGCTAACTTGACTACTTCTTCCATTAGCTCTCCCACTCTATTTCATCTCTTACTACAATCTCTAAACGTCTCAACATCAATTTCAGTCTTGATAGGTACATGACAAAGTAAGTGTTAACTCTTTATTTCACAAAAAATTTCAGTCATTACCAGCCTGGAAATATGATTCCGCAAAGTTTCCCACTTTCTTCTCCCACTTCATGAAATATTAGGAAGCTAATCCGGGTTATGCCCAACTTATCACAGCAAAATGTTAAGAGGTCTATTTTATGAAGGACCCGAAGTCTATATGCAGTTCATGTGCTTCCACTGAAGACAATTTGAACTGAAGCTCCCTATGGATAGGCCACGGCGAAAAAAATTGGCCACTTTTCGTGGCTGTTCATTGGGCCCTTTTGTCACTTTTTCTCAAGGGCCGCGCATACATCACGCCATTGCATCACCTTTCTCCCGAAAAGACAGCTGAGCTTACTGCGTGCCGATCAACTTGCATTTAGGTTTTGATAGTTATTCGCAATCAGTCAGTTGGAAAACTATCACTATCACAATTCAAGATGATCGACATGCAATAGCGTGACAGTTATGATATTTGGAGAATCGCGAGATATAATCGCGTGATGTAAGCCCGGCCTCTTACTTACTTCCGAGGAAATTAAATCTTATCATCAGCACCTTTATCCCCCATAGCTACATAGAAAAGGGTTATAGAGCTCATTTACAATTTGCAGAGAGGGGAATGTCATGTTGCAGCGAGGAATCCGGAAAGGGGTACACAACACGAAGCATTGTCTCAGATTTAGAGCAAAAGCAGGAAGAAAAGGGTGGAACAACGTGTGGAATGAAGCAAACGAACTGGAGGGTAAGTTTTATGTTTTATGTAAATTGTATGTACCTTCCGCCTAATCAAACAAGCCTACGATTTGGACAATACAGAAGAGGGTGGAAGACAACGCCGTGCATGAAGCAATTGAATTGGAGGAAGGGTAAGTTTTACGTGTTTATGTAAACTGTATGTACTCCCCGCCTAGTGAATACATGCCTACGACCTGGGCGATAAGGAGATGTCAGCCAATATCAGTAACAACCTTTTGGCTTCTTGCGAGTACTATGTTTGACCATTCAAAATTGCCGGTGTTTTTCGGATTTTACTCTAAGTGCCAAGTGTCAAAGTAGCTGAGTAGAAGAACAAATACCTCCAGCGGACGCAATCTGTGCGGACTGTTGGCTTAGCATGACTGCGATAGCAGTGTGAAAAGTCAGTGATTTTCAGAGCAACATCTAATTGAGATATTCGTTCCTTTATAGAGAGAGCTACCAAAAGTTACCAGTGCTGTGATATGCGTGGCAAGAAAACTTGATTTACCGATTCTCATGTTGTCAATCACCGGACATCTGCCTTCCATCAGTTCATTTGCGCTCAAGTATTGGCACTCACCTGCTATCGTAGACACAAGCAAGAGCAACCTTGCTTTTCGATTTGCAGAATCGATAGGCACATCCAAACTTCAACGTCTTGTGATAGATCATCTGTAAGCATGAATTTAATCTCAGGTATCTCCGGTGTAATACTTTTATACAAATCGATTATGAACATTACATTGGCGAAAGGCTCCATGGAGGTGTCTGTATATTTTACGTCAGGTCTTAGAGGATGGTTGACTGTATTTCTCCAGTCCTCTACGGCATGCAGAAAAAATTGAAGAAGGGTTTTGTTGTTTGGCGCACCATTTGTTTGATATCTGAACGTCATCTCCTCAATGACTGGGGTGTTTGGACTGTTGTATTGTACAAGATCAAACATTTTCATAGCTTACATTTTAAAGTTCTCTGACTTTTCTGTGCTATTCACGTAGAATTTGGAATGCATGCATTGGCTTCCAATAACTGCAGCAGCCAAAGCGGCGTGAGTACGGTCATAACCCTGTGTTTTGTATAAATCAATATCAATGATTTTATCTTCAAAGAGTTTAATTCCAGTTTTTTTTAAGAGACCAAATACGGGTCCTTCACAAAATTGTGATGAAAACTGCGAATGCGGTCTCTGGGCCTAAAAAAGTCGCAAAACTTTAACGAAAGGAATCGCTTTAGTGCTCAGCTCAAACCTGAAGTATCGAGAAGCTATCATATGTTTTTGAAAAAAAGCTTTGAGTGAAAGCGAAAGCCAAATACGGCTGCCGAAAATCTGTACGCAATGCAGGCGATCGCCTCCATTGTCACGACATTGTGATTGTCCTATAACCACCGTCACTCGCCTCATTTGACTCTTACTCTTACCACGATTTCTATGACTTTTCTATATTTTAAAGTCGTGGTGCGTCATACACTCCTCACCAGCTTGAAAAGGCTCTTCGATCCTGGTGCATCTCCGAAAATTTTCTTGTGTAGTCCACGTGTCGCAACTTGTGCTCTGATTGCGTTATGAGCCTTAACGACTGCTTCACCTACTTCAGGAGCCACAATGCACATGCCTAGAAGATGAAACGTAGTTGATAAACAGTTCTATTCTTTTAGCATAAAATGTTTGCTTGCCTGTTCTTAGTGCTTGAAAGAGTGTGAAACAGAACTGAAAAACGTTTATGCAGGTGCTTTCATTACGCAAAAAATATAAACTTTACTAGCAACTGCCACATTCCGGCCTGAGATCTTCTTATCTTTGATTTCGTCCTGAGCGGAGAGGTAATGAGGATGAAACATTAGTAGCCGCTACGCAGCAGGAAGAACAAAAGGCTTTATCTCATGTCTTCGTAAGAGGTAGTTGAGAGAAAGGCAGTGCGGAAAAAATGTGGTAAAGACGCAGGATTACTTCAACAAAAACCAGAGGAAAAATATGATATGAATGATCTTATAACCACTACAAAAAGAAGGCTTTGGGAGAAGCTTGTTGTCGCTATCCGCGCTCCGAAGATGAATATTTGGATTTAGCGTAACGGACAAAGCCAGATAAACGAATAAATCAGCTTTTGCTCACTTAGCAGCTAACTATGCCTATACGCATAAAGATGGTTGCATTAGACCACTCCGAAAATGCAATACGGAGGAAAATTTACATTACGAGCGCACTTGCAATGTATGGTGTATATCCGAGCTTCAGTTGTGCGCATGGCAAAGAAATATAAACTTGAAAAAGTCAAAAGATTTTTTCCCCAGCCTGATAGATAAACAATAGCTACATATCGAACACCTTGCAGGGCTCAAGTAGATGAAATGACACGTCTCAAAGATGCTGTTCAATGTGGCGAACAATGATGTTTATTCATGAATCTTGCTCAGCATATTATCAGGATATATTTAGCATGTGCAGTGATTCTTTCATAACTATAGCAAGGAAGATTATCGAAGCGATTTCGCTTTTCAAAACTGCAAATTCCTTATAATTCAAAGATTTCGCTTTACATTTTGGCGCTTTCTCAAACATAAAGTTGCAGATGATATACAGTATCAATAGAGTGACAATAGCAGACATTCCCAAAACACTAAGCGATTTATAATAAGCTGCGAAATGTCCAGCATATCATAAATGGTTCTGTATGTAAAAAAATTGCGCACACTTTGTCAAATTCGCGAAAGTTTTATTCTCACTGAAGGCAGTGGCTCGGCAAATCCTCGACCTGAAGTTTTTTTTCGCTTACCTGGGATAATTCGAAGCGCTGATTTTGAAAATACACTTGAAGAGCACGAAAACTTCGAAAACCCTCAAGGGTTCCAAGGGTTCTCATTTCAAATGTGGACGAGTGGACCACTCCCGCCACTAGAGACCTAGAGTCGCTGCGGATCCTCATGTTCATAATGACGGTGGGAGGGAACCTCGAGCTCGTCCGAGCACATGTAAGAATGGCTTGCGCGCACGGGTTTAGGGGCACTTTTTCTAGGCAGGGGCAGCATGTAGTACGCTCGGAGACCTGCTCCGTTCTGATATTTGGGATGCAAGCAACCTTCCATATCAAGATTTGGAGATGTCTGGTTTTGCCGAGCCATTGCCTTCAATAGTAAGTGATAATATATGGGAGGTGCAGTTTTTGCGCTTTCTTTGTACTCATCAAACGATATAGAAATATGCGAATTTCTTGTTCGTACCTACTGTTAAAGGATATTCCTCGACGACTGCCCCGTTTAGTGCAATTACACCACCGCAGGCGTGCCTCTTTGGAGCCTTTCCAGCTTGACAGTACGCTGCAGCGCGCCGGGACTTCGTAGCTCGCAGCAACACTGTCCTTTAGCCTCTTTTGTTGATTTAAGTATTTCACATCGTTTTTTCTTCTTAGTTTACGTATTTCAGTCAGTCATTCGTTTTCCCTTTTTCTTAGGTTCTCTCGATGTTCAAATGTCCTACGTTCTACTTTGATGAATACTAAGAGGTAAGGAAATAATTTGTTTAGAACACATTTCTTGAATTCCTTTCACCCACCAAACATTCTTTTTCAAAACGTGAACATCTCTTCGGGTAAAGTTGGGTGAAAGGGTTTGTCCATAAGCAGTGGTGGTATCATGGAGTTTCCTTAGATGAGGCCACTTTAATGTTTATTTTAACACTCCTACATGGTGTCTCTGATGTAGGAGTGTTGAAGTAATCAGTTCAGTGGTATGTCCCAGGAAACATATCAAATCATTGTAAAACATTGAAGAAAATATGCAATCCCAATCATAGCTGTGACATCCACCACTGCAACTACAAATAAGGTCATTCTTTTTTCTATTTTGCTCGCGACGATGGTCTCACGTAGACATAGAACGGTCGATTGCCCGAAATGAAAAATAAGAAGAAAAAACGATGCGAAATACTTGAATCAATAAAAGAGGCTAAAGGACAGTGTTACTGCAAGATATGAAGTCCCGGCGCGCTGCAGCGTACTGTCAAGCTGGAAAGGCCCCAACGAGGCACGCCTGCGGTGGTGTAAATGCACTAAACGGGGCAGTCGTCGACGAATATCCTTTAATGTAAAAATGCGACAATTTCGCTTCGTTATTTTGAGTGTGAAAATGCGACAATTTCGTTTTGTTATTTTTCAAACTTCAATGCATTGTACTATCTTTCACTAACATCGATTGCCTACTTGACGAGTTGATCTGGCAAAACTGTCTCAGAGATTTTACTTTTGCTTTTATTCTAGATTTAGAGGGGAGAGGAATAAGACCTTGGACCGGATTGGACTACGAAGGAACCAAAAAATGGTGTAAATGAAGTAATACGCGAAATTGTGTTACTAAAAAAAGAGTTTTACTAAAAATAAATGGGTCTTGATGAATAATACTAAAGCAATTTCTCTCTCCTGTTCGCGTAGTAGTTATTGTTGTTGTGTAATGCCAGAATGTACGAAGAAAAAAAAGATATTTTATAGTTGATTCACAAATTAAGTTCGAAAAATTTGCTGCGTACATGAACTACTTCCTCTAACTTTTCTTAACTAACTTCCTAGCTACTTAATTAAAACAAGTCTTTGTTTTAACTCACTTACGTGGGATCATCGAAACCAAACAAAGTTTCTTTATTATTTAGTGACACCCAACACAAAAGACTTCTTTTCTAACCTTCAATCCCGCAATTTTTCTAGAAACTTCCCTTTGCGTAGGCTTCAGGAGTTTCGTCACGTACTTAGGAGGCCTCCTTAGGCACTATTGCGGGGCTTGGCGTTTGCTATCTAGGGGCATAATAAAATTTTTTTATTGAAGGACCCCTCCTGCGATCGGCGCGTCCATGTCTTCTCGGCCTGCCTCTTCGAACTGATCCAACGAAACTTCTCGTGACACCGCCAAAGCTGAGATAAACATTCAAACGCATTTTCAAAAGACTCAATAATTTTCCCACTACTGAAGACTTGGTAGGACATTTTTTGCAAGACTTTGCAAAGCTTTGCTTCCGTATAGCTCTGCTTCGTTAAGACAACCACGGAAAGACTAACAGTTAAGCACTGAAAATTATTTTCTATGTTTTGAGTCAGCATGGCTGCCTGAAGTTAATGATGTTATTCAAAGAAATTTTTTCGGAAGTGGTCAGATTTTGATAGCCTTGCTGTGAAAAAAATCTGGCAGGGAAACCAGAGAAAATAATTAATTATAAAGGTTCAATCGCAAGCAGAGTTTGTGCTAACAAGGGAATGGTCAGAAATCGAAGTGTCAATCTAATTGTAAGCAAGCTGCCTACCAATCGAAGCATTCAACGCTGATTTCGAATCTGTGACCATAGCTACTTTGCTCCTTTTGGGACAAAGTTATAAGCAGTTTTACTCAGAAGAAATCGTAGAAAAACGCGAATTCGAGCACATTGTTGCACTTTCACTTCATCCTTAGGTTCTGAGAATATAAAGTAACCTAGCTACATGTCTCTGCCCAGCATAAAGCCGAAATGTTGCGTTTTGCATGCACGATTTCCTTGCAAATAACGGCCTTTCACGGCCCATAACTTCGCCCACATAGGCACTGAGCAGGTATGGTATACGAATCCGAGTTCAGCGTTTTATGCTTCATTCAATGTTATGCAGTCTTTTTGAAATGGCCACTTCGATTTCTGATCATTCCCTCGTCAGCTTGACAACTGATAGATGATGAAGTGAAAGTTGCTTAAACTGACTGACAAGGGAAGGTATATGATTCGCAGTGGATTTTCCCTATAAGATGTACACCATTCAAAAGGTCTTTGATTGCTGATTTCAAAACAAACTTTCTTATCTGCTTATCGGTTTACTGAACAAAGTTACAGGCAATTTTCCGCCTCCAGTTTGCATGGTCAAGTACCGTGTAAATGATCCAAATTCGTAATAGATGCGAATTTGGTCCAAAGCTACATGCCCACATGTCTGAGATATATTTACTATACATGAAAAATTGTTGGGAATAGTTTTGGAGCTACTCTGCCGCCTCAGTCCTGCAAAAAGCAACCAAAATCAGTATCATTTGAAACCAAATAAATGAATGTAACTTTGTTCATTAAACAGATAAGCAGATAAGGAAGCTTGTTTTGAAACCAGCACTCAAAGCCCTCTCAAATAATATGCATCTTATAGGGAAACTCCACTGCGAGTCATATACCTTCCCTGTTGAGCGCAAATCAGGAAGTAACCAAACTTTATTTAGGGCCAACATCTTGGCGGAATCGCTTTCGCCATAGTCTAGAATGCCGAAAATAAAAATGAAACATTCTCTTAGACGCTAAGATCCTAGCTCCAGACGAAAGTCAGTTTGGAGAAATACGGAAGGCAAAATGAGTGAGAACTTCGTAAAGGCTAAGTGCGAGAACATAGCCGTTATTTTTCTAAAGTAAAAGCCGCGTTTTTTTGACCGACTGTGCAGGTGGATTTGACAAAATCAGATGAAATGGTCAACATGCGAATTCATGTGAATTTATGCAAGAATACTGTTTACTGACCTCATGAAATATGCAGAGTAATTTTTTCTTTCTCAAACTCGTATTCATAATACCACACAAGTAATATAATAATGATTATCACACATTCATTCACATACTTTCGTTCGCCTTGTTGATGAGAAGCAGGAAACTAGTCTTTGAGGGATCATATTTGAAAGAATGAGATTTACAACCAAATTATCACTTTGATTTCCGTTCAACAATCTATACCCCTTACAGAAGGCAGCTTGGTGTTTGTGTTGCTGTGACGGTCTTATCTAGAATTGGAGGTGGTGCCGATAGCAGGGCCCAGCACAGATGGCTTGAGG